AATTCCATCATTGACCAAGTAGACAAAATGGGGTTTATTTACTAAAGCTGGAGAGTCCAAAATCAGACTCCCTTCTGCATAGAAACCAATCGGCTTCCAGGTTTCATTGCCAAAGCTTCATTGAACAAGCTGAGGTTAGAAGCTGATTGGTTTCTATGCAGAAGGGAGTCTGATTTTGGACTCTCCAGCTTTAGTAAATAAACCCCAATATGTCCATGTTTGGTCAGAGATGTCATGAGATCCCTGCATCTTTGTACATAAACCTAATGACAGAGCTAGAGAACTGTCATTAATGGTGGGAGTACTGAGTGAGTGAACGGGCAGGAGTATTCATGTTTTTTTTTTTCTGACGATCTACATGATTCATGCTGGATTTACACCACTGGACTTTTTTGAGGTTTTTATTTTTTTAATGAATGACTTGTCCAAAACTTGTGTTATTTACAGCTGATTTTTTTTATTGAGTATTTTTCACTTACAGAGGGACAAAGTACCTTTCGGGGGGTAAACTTGGCCCCATATAGTTCAAGGAGGCACATAGTTTTGTTTACAAAAATGTGTACTGTCCTGTTGAGAAAAAAATTGTGTGGTGACCAGAAAAGGGGGGCAGCAAAGGTGTGCACTCCTAAACCATCCCAAGCCACATCCCCCAACATTGGGAGGGCAACTTGCAAGAAAGGGCTGCAAAGCCTCCCCTTCTTGCAAAGACATCCTGTCCCCTGAGGACCTCATCCACACATCCTGTATTCCAAAAGAAATGTGGGGGTCTACTGGGGGTGAATTACAGAAAATTGAAAGCCATATTTATAATAAGGGAACCATTATTCATTCCATTTCCTCCTACAGAGAATTTTTTTACCAAAAAAATGTAAAAGTAAATTAACACAACCAAATGGTAAAAAAAAAAATCTTTATTGAAAAATAAATATATCTTCATGTAGATACAACATCAATTACATCATCCAGCATTGGACATCCATGTCAATCATGATGTGTGACACCCAACAATGGTAATCTGCTGCCAGGATGATGCTGCCATGATGTTATTTCCATCACAAGTGATAGTTTCCTGCCACTGCTGGTATTTAAAAAACAGCATTGGGGATCTCAGATGATGTCATTGACTAAATATGGCCAGTAACCCTGGATCCCTAGCCTGTCTGTTTACAAAGACACTGGTGGGGTCCTGTAAATGACCTGTTGCGCGCCTGTAAATGACACAACCCATGGTTTGTTGACAAACCCAAGCTGACAGTAATCTGTCATTTACTATGTACAGTGCTACCACTGCTAAATGCCAGATTACCAGTTGCTGTACACAAAAAAAGGACATCTTAAGGAGTTCATCCTACTGTTCCACAATGTAATGTGCAAGTTTAAAACATTCCAAAAGGATGTTATTTAAGGAATTTTTCTTTTTAACAGTGTTGCTTTTTAGGTGGTGTTAACAGACCCTCTAGCTGCTAAATAGTAATTGGTACATGTCTTCCATGGCAGTGCTCAGCTACTCATGCCTTTTTTAACAAATGCTTGTAAATTGGCCCTAGGCAAAATCAAATGGTATTAGGCTATTTTCTCTCTGGGTCGAATGTTCTACTTAGAATAAATAAGGAAAATACTGCATTATAGTAACTAAATAAAGCTAATCACAGGAAATAAATACTTATGTACTATGATTGTTGGTTCCATTCAACAGTGCTCCACAGCCATTCACTATGGTGCTGAGTGGACTTCACAAACATGAAACGTGCTTGCTCATGGATATCCAGAATGTGACATTTACATGCATATATTTTTCTGTACAATTGCCAATCTGCTGCACTTTTTATATAAAAATAATATCAATTGTTTTTCCAAATACTGTGCATGTAAACAAATTCTTTGGTAAATAAAACAGTTCATATACATGTATATCAGCTGTTCATTCAGCCTGCCAGAAAATCAGCTTTAAAGCTGAACATTCATCCTCTGTTTTATCACTTAATACATTAAAATGCAAAACTTTTGTATGAATTGTTTATAATTAAAAGCATATCTATTCCCCTTCAAGCCATGCATTCAGGAGAAAACTAGCTGATCCTATCAATGCCACAAAAAACATTTTTACATATGGCTGCTCATACCCATTAGTCTGGAATAATGGGATTCATGGAATTATGTATTTATACAGTCAAAAGTTTTCATTTTATTTTTTAAAGTACTCTAGAGCATCTCTTAAACACAAAGCATGCCTCCTTTCCATCATAAATCCAAAATAGAAAGGTTTATTTTCTATTTAAAGTGCATTCACACCTGCAAATGCCCCTGATACAGATTACATATTAGAACTCCAGTGGCGGTTCCCTGAAATTTGCTGTTGGAGACAGCCCTATTGAAAGCATGGGAGGCTGCCATCTCCCGCAGCTAATCACAACTATTTGCATGTAATTGCTCATTCAACAATCATCAGCCCTGGATGCAGACTGCCTGCCAGCAGCCTCTTATTGCTTTAAATGGGGCAGCCTCCTACAGCCAATCACATGGGAGCCCCCGCCGGGGTTCTCGCATGTAATCGGCCATTTATCGTGTAAATGCCCCCTTAAAGTGGTTCTAAAGTCTCAAGTTTTTTTACCTTCCTGCATTCTATGCAGGAAGATAAAAACCTTCTGTGTGTAGCAGCCCCCCCCCAACTCTTACCTGAGTCCCCTCTTTACCCAGTGATGTTCATGGGAGCCTTGGTTCTCTGGGGGCTCTCACTCCTGATTAGCTCTCGCTGCGGTCAATCACAGCCAGTGAGCCAAGCAAGAGAGGGAGGGGGTGGGATGGGGCTGAGCCACAACTCAGTGTATGAATGGACACACAGAGCAGCTGCTTGGGAGTGTGCCTGCTTGGGTGCCCCCAGAGCAAGATGTTTGCTAAGGGCCGGGGAACATGACGGGAGGAGGGGCTAGGAGCACCACTGGGGCAACCAAGAAAAGAAGGATCTGGGTTGCTCTGTGAAAAAGCACTGCACAGAGCAAGTAAGTATAACATGTTTGTTATTTTTAAGGGAAAAACAAACAAGACTTTAGTATTAAAAAAAGTGGATATTTTTCACACTGTTTTAATTTCAAGCTTTTTGGCTTCTGTTAGCTCATCTGGCCATAATTTGTCTGGTTATACTTGCTTTTTGACTTTTGACATACTGGGGAAAGTTTAAAACCTCAGACTTTAATTGCACTCCCCACTGGTAAGATTTTCCCACTTTTAAAGAAAAATCTCTTTTAAGAAGATACTAACAGAAATTAAAAACAATTTTAATAGCATGGGAAAGGTCCCCTCAATGTGGAGATATCCTTTGCTATAGGACACAGAATTGATTTAGGGGCTAGCGAATTGGACCACTTTTTTTTTTTTTTTTTTAAGTCCGCAAATGTGCAAACTACAACGAAAAAAAAACCCGTAAGTGAATCACAAAAAAAGTGCAAGTGCAAAAACACCACACGAAAAAGTGCACTTAGGGGTGTGCTTGTGTCCTACCCCTAAAGGGGCTTGGACCGCTTACCCTGATCCCCCGGGGCACGAAGCTCCTGACGGGGACAAGGTTTCCCAATTGGTCCTCCTGGCCAAAAGGCCTGGTGGACCACCTTTCCTTGTGTCCAGCCGAAGCCAGACACTCAGTACTTGGTCAGGGGACTCCCCCGAAGAAGAGTCCCCTAGGGATCAGGGGAGGAAGGAACGAAAAGGCCATACATCCTCCCCCTAGACTTCAGGGTAGGCCCGAGGACCCACACCCTACCATCCAGTGAAAACACACGCATAAGCAAAGCAAAAAAAAGTGACAAACGTGGGAGGTGTTAAATTAAATAAATAAAAAAATTAAAAAGTGGTACCGTGCCAAATTGTGCACAGACCAGGCCCTGAGGCCCGTAGCAAAAATTGCCCTGGACTTAGCCAAAAGGCCTGGTCCTTAGGGCGCTGTGCAAAAAGAATGTAAAAACAGTGACCATGTGCCATGTTCACACAGTGGGGTCCCACACCCAGGTGTTACTAGTGGCACCCCTGAGACTGTCTACTCAGGGGGCGAATTGGACCACTGGACCAGAATGTTAATGATCCTGAAAGTGTTGGATTCTGAAGATTTATGAAATAAGAGTTTCTCCTCTGTTCTGCAAAGACTGGAGGCATGGTTGGTGAGAGAGGTAAATATTAACTACTTTATTTGCAAGGGACACTATAGTGAGAGTTTCTTTATGCCCTCATTCATAAGGTTGCCTGGGGGACAATAAAAACCAGTATGATATGTGCTTTTACCACCCACCCAAAGTCTATAATACAGCTGGAGGGGCTGCTAACATGCCACACTCACAATTCTTTGCATTGTGGCCATGGTAAATTTAACACAACATGCCAAATCATGGGTCCCATTTAAGTCAAGGGGTCGTGTCGCACCTGTGATCCAAACAGTTGGTTCATGGCTGCAGCAAATTAGTCCCATTGTAAACTGAAGTTTGGCGAAAAAAAAAAAATAGGCATACAAGAAGCAGCAAGATCCTTAACACTTGACACTGGCTGCTTAGCAGCATTTGTCTGAACTGCTTTTCAGAGTGTGAACCCCTTAATTGTATGTTTCTGTTGTTATTTTGCAGGACTAATGCTAAAGCCATATTTCTTGTGTTTTGAAAGATCAATATCATAATATTTTCTCCCACCCGAAATGATTCTCTCATTCCTCCATTATCTGCAATATTTTCTGCCAACGTTTTTGTTCCTTTTACCTAAAGAAAGATACAAGATAAATAATGAATAGTTAATAATAATGAATGCTGTACAATGTTACGAATTACTACAATGTTTACCAAATAATTGAACTTATCAGTGACAATTAACATCCTTCCTATAGATAGTGTGAAGAAAAACCCATGTGTTTTTGTCTAGTGGGAGAATGTTCTTTCTCCAATGAAAGCCATTGTTGACAAGTTCTTCTACAAGCTCTATTGCCATGTTGGAATGGTCGGCATTCCTCGGAGGGGACATGTACACAGATCATCAGAGCACTGATGATCAGTGTGCCCTGATGATCTGTGTAGCCCCAGCAGCGCCACCTGTCAGTGTCCATCAGTGCCAGCTCTCAGTGCTCATCCATGCCACCTGTCAGTGTCCATCAGTGCCAGCTCTCAGTGCTCATCCATGCCACCTGCCAGTGCCCATCAGTGCCACATCAGTGCCACATTTCAGTGCCCATCAGTGCCACATCAATGCCACATATCAGTGCCCATCTGAGCTGCCTTTCAGTGTCACCCATCAGTGCCAGTCAGTGCCATCTATCAATGCACGTCAGTGCCACATATCAGTGCTGCCAATCAGTGCCACCTATCAGTGCCAGTCAGTGCCACCCATCAGTGCCAGTCAGTGCCGCCTATCAGTGCCGCCTAACAGTGCCAGTCAGTGTCACCTATCAGTGCTGCCTATCAGTGCCATATATGAGTACTGCCTTTCAGTGCCCATCAGTGATGCCTGTCAATGCCCATCAGTGTCACCTACCAGTGCCTCCTCATCAGTGCCACCTATCAGTGTCTATCAGTGCAGCCTATCAGTGCCCATCACTGCAGCCTCATTAGCGCACATCAGTGAAGGAGAAAAATCACTTATTGACAAAATTTTATAACAAAAACTAAGAAAAAAAAAACATTTTTTAAAAAAAAAAAATTTCAGTGGTTTTTGGTTTGTTTAAGAAAAAATAAAAAACCCAGAGGTGATTAAATACCACCAAAATAAAGCTCTATCTGTCACAAAAAAAAAGATAAAAATTTCATATGGGTACAGTGTTGCATGACCGCACAATTGTCATTCAAAGTGCAACAGTGCTGAAAGCTGGAAATTGGCCTGGGCAGGAAGGGGGTATAAGTGCCCTGTAGGCTAGTGCTTAATGCAACAGTCCAATGCTTGAGCGTTTACTGGTTATTGATGCTCTAGCAATGGACTACTGAATGGTGGTGCTGGATCTCAGCATGGGAAAAGGGCAGGGCTTAGTTTTAACTTGGATAGATGCAATAATATACAGTCTATTGCTGAAGTACAAGGAGTTCCACAAGACACCTCTTTTTAAAAATCATCAAGCCAGTCAAGGACACAAGCAGAGCTGTGGGAGGGACATTGCAAGTCCACCCACTACAGGATGCCTACAGACTGTGGCCCTAACTGGTCTTTATTACAAGAAACTCTGGCACAGAGTCAAAGATCTGGAAGAAATAAACTAAGAACGCCGATATTCCAGAGAAAATACACATGACTCTTGTGCTTCAACAATTCTGGTTTGCTCAGCTTTCAGTTTTAAAGTATTCCACATAATCTTTTGAAATGTTCTGCAATTAACAGATGCAACCAAGGCTTAGTCAGACAATCGATTGCTCTACTGTATAATTGTTGCAACTATTATCATGATTTAGCTTTAAAGTGTTCTTTGTATAAAATTGCTGATAAAGAATTGACCTTCCAGTATAAACAGGGAGGAAAAAGTCAGTTATAATTATAAGTATAAAGTAATTATTAGAAATGTTACCTTTGCAGGAAAGCCTATATGTGGTAAAATAGCTTAAAATAAACTATTACACTGCCGTTGGTTTTTCTAATCCAAATTTTCTGTGTTTTTTATGCTTTTTTTTTTACTTTTATTTCAATTTTCCTACCTTTTTTGCATAGCTATTGCAACTATTGCCTATTTTTGGACTGGTTCTCATTTATTTGTACTTGTCTTGGCAAGTAATTCTGTTTTTCTTCAAATAAAACAGCAATCTGCTCATAGGTATTGCAATGCTTTCCAGGCTCCGAAAATGATAAATAGTAAATACACATTTTCTTACCTGGAAAAAATGTGCAATTATTATTTTTTGTTAAAGGATGAACTCATCTTTTAAAATAAGCCACATTTTTCTTAAAGCCCAATTCCGACTCCCTACACTCCCAAGAAGTGCTCCTGGATGGAGTTGCACACCCATTTTCCCCACATACAATGTAGGGTTAATAGTCTTCCATTGCACATGAGGATGCTGTGAACCACCCACAGCCTGGGGCAGAGGAGGAAGAAAACAATGCTGGACCCTGATGGAGTGGGGCGCAAGGTAAATATTACAACCTCTTCAAATTCCACTAGACCTAATGAGCATTTAACCCTTGCAGTGTAGGGGGCCACCACTGCAAGGGGTTTTGTGTTTTCTCCTTCACAATGTTGAGCTTTAAAGTGCAAGTCTAGCCAATATTTTTCTAGTTTTAGCATGGGAAAGGGTTGGAACATCTCTCAGATTTTACTTCTATCCAGAACACTATTAAATAAATTTGCTCCCACTTCCTCTTCTGCTGTTATCAGTTTAATAATACAGCAAGTGAGGGGAGCTATCAAATGGCTACATAGACAAAGACAGGTTTTTTTTTTTGTTTTTGCTGTCTGTGTCCCTGTCTGTTGCAGATTTTCCCAAACTTCTGATTTGGTGAAACCCTTGCCAGCAAAATAGAAAGTGAAGGAAAGTCTTTCTAACAGAGACCCAGAAAGCAGATTTTAACTTTTCCCACCTCTAGCCTCACCCTTCAATAAAATAAGTTTATTCTGATAGGGTGTTTCTTGAAAAACCTACATGCATGCCAGCTTGTTTCCAATAATAATCATTGTACTGTTCCACAATACATTTTGTTCTTTCCTTGAACTTCTCCTCGGAATCTGTGGTCCACCATGGATGTAAATTCCCATCTTTGTCATACTTGCGACCTATATAGTGTTAAAAAATGCATAAATTATGTTTGATAAGACTTATAGCTGAACTCCAGGCTACTTACTAAATGCAGCAATAAAATACATATATGAGAACTGTTTTTATACAACCATTATGGACGGAAGGGGACGGGGGGGGGGGGGGCAGTGCCAAGCCACCATGTGTGTGTGTGTCAATGGACACACAGAGCTCAGCTCAGAAGCAAGCCCAAATGAGTGCCTCCATAGCAAGCAGCACAATTTAAAACAGTTTATTGATATTAATTATTTATTTTTACTGTTTTCGCAGGGCTACTTTTTTTGAACATGTGACCAGTAGCAGAGCACAAGAATCTCCTCCTGCCACTGTTTTCTTGCAGTCAGGCTGGGAAAGAGTTGGGGTTAAGTGACAGCTGTATATATGTTAGGGAAAAAATGTGCTTAGATTTTTTTTTTTTATTAAAACAATTACACAGTCATCATGTATGTACAGAAAGACAGGATAATGTAAATTAAATATTGTGTGTTTAGTGTCATTTTAAAGTCTATAATATGTAAAACATAATTTTTAAAAATAATTAATAAAATAATTAAGAAAATGCAAAAAATGTATTTTATGTGAGAAAAGCATATGAGTAAATATTTAAAAAAAATCATTCTCAGATCCGCAGTTTAAAAAACATAGATATATCCATATTTCTTTAATATTAAATAATTTACATAATCTGTTTTACGGAAGCCAAAGGCTATAAAAGCTAACAACATTGTTTAGGTTATATACTGTAAAGGCTTTATGAAAAACACAGAAAACATGTTAATAATAGGTTCCAAATGACATATGCAAATGAGTTAATTCAAATATTTACATGCTGGATTCAAAACGGATCTATGGTTTATTTGTGTCATGAGTGACTAAGTCAGCAGAATTCCTATAACTTTAGTACATGCTATTGTCTGGATTTAACAAGCACTACTACAGCTACCTGCTTTTTATCTTTACAGGGTTTAAAGCTGGCCTTACACTAGTAGAATTTCATTAAAATTGTTTGTTTTTGGAACATTCATTTGATTTGGGTCAAATCAATATTCATTTTTGACCGTAGTGATGAAAAAATTAATTTCAGCAGTAGGGAAAAATTTTTTTGAATGAACAAATTTCTAACAGTATATGTGAATTTGGTTTGGAAAATGTTTACCAAAAAAAATCTAAAAAAAACAAATTCAATTTTGAAGTACTTGTTGGCATTATAAAATGCTCTGACCATATTTTTTCATAACAGTGTATAGCCAGGTTAAAACTAAATAGACCTGTTTTTCATATGCCTTAAAGTGCAGCATTGAAAGTGTACATGTTAGAGCTGTTTGATAAGAGCAAAAAAATACCCGCTGATCTCTTCCAAAATCTAACACGTTCCTGTGATAAGCTGACAATGGTTCACTGAAATTTCAAACACTGTGCTCAGTGAACTACAGAACAATCACCCATATTATAGAGATAAGACAGGGAGGGTTTTGTAGCCCCAACACACTTCCTGTTGTAGAGTGACAACTCTGTTCCTTCATTGGCATTTACTGGCAGGATCAGATGACTTTAATGGAAAAAAATAGGCCTGATTAAAGAAACCTAACCACATCTACGGACTGGTATGCTGCATTATATTACGTTTTAGTACTTGGGTTTAGATATGCTTTACAATCAGCATTGATAACAAGGTCCAACAGCAGAGAGCACTTACTCTTTTTTCCTGCTGCAGAATCACTTCATATACATTTCAAAGCTTGCTTACAAATTAAGAATGTTAATATCTTCACAAGGCCTAAATGATAACTGCTAGATGATGTAGTAATAGACGCTGCCAAATCATAATGAATCAACATATTTTTTTATATACATTCATATATATATATATATATATATTTACATAATATTTACCATTACTGTCAAATCCATGTGTGAACTCATGGCCTACAATTACTCCAATCGCTCCATAGCTGAGGGATCTGCCAAAGAAGAACATGTAAATATTATTAAGTACAAAAAAATCTCCAACATCCTCTCTTCTGATGAATAGCTCAGCTTTCCACTGCATCATTTATTTTCTTATCAGGAACCAGCTAGGATTCAGAATTTAATTATTCATTTTCACAATGTTGCCTGGGAATATCACAGATCAAAGATGAAATGGGATCATCGGCTGCCAGTTCTAATCATTTCCCGCTGGGAAAGTTGGCAAATGTCTGACACTGATGCATGCAAATTCAGTTTTCATTATATTTTCAGGTTGACGGTCAGTTTCCTCTTACCTTCACAGCAAACAGAGATCTTCAAAACTCTAACTATCCTGACAGTTTTGTCACTGTATTCTTTTTGCACTACATGAAATCACCATTTCATCTGAGATGTATAAAAGAAATACCATGTTCCTCTTTCTAGCTAATCACTAACCAAATACAAGCAGATTCCAAGAGTGATAAGATCTGCTTTCACTTTTTTTTTCCCATTGCCAGGACCTATAGAACCTATTGTAATACCTTACAGATTTATCCCTAACTCAAACAACA